GTAAACTGGGGGTGGAGGATCTAGTCTCCTTATGGAGACGAATCAATACTTGGAGCCCTGAAGACCTCGCTTGCCATCACTGTCATTTATTGGATTAGTTGAAATAAATGTCGCATGCCAGATGATTGCCAAAACCTTGAAAGTTTATCAAATTGTGTGGGTAGGAATTCAAACAGTGCTGAAATTGAAGGTATCGTTTGCTGCCTCCCTTCCAGAGCGATCCCAGTTCCTTACACGTAAGATGTGTCTTGGTCCTGCTTTCACTCTCCTCATCCCTGCTTCTAGCAAGCCAACGTAGAATATATGTTCATGTGTGAGCTTTGAAGGGTGTGGGTTCTTCTAGGCTACCATGTGTTGAGTCCTCCCTGGTAGCTCAGATTTTTTGTCCCACCTAATAGTGCAGCTTTGTTTCCTGAAGAACCTTCTAGTGCTGTTTTAGAAGGTGATGGCACAGCTTAAATGACCCTTAACAAAACAAACAAACAAACAAAAAACAAACACCACAAAACCACAAACAAAACTTTTAGTTGTTTTTTTTAACTTCTTGTATATCTTCTCCCCTCCACTTCAGTACAACAGGTCAGTTATCCTGGTTCAAGTTACTTTGAAAAGCATAAGGTGGAAGGGAGAACACTTTAGTTTGAATAATGTTTTGGAATAAAGGTGTGATGGTCCTGATCTTGATACTTTCTGCTTCTAAGTAAACAACACTTTCTGTAGTGTTGTTGCCTGCATCCTTGACCTCTGGGAGCGGATATTCCCTGTAGTCCTAGACTAAGCCCCTTTTAGCCCTATTTCAGTGAATGGTAGTTGAGTTAGAGCAGCCTGAAGGGAAGCCATCAGCTCAGCTGGTGTGAGGTGTAAGAGGGAGGACTTTGTAGAGTAGGGTAGATGGTTGGACTCGATGATCCCAAGGGTCTCTTCCCACCTAGATGATTCTATGATTCTATGTGGTAGAGGTACAAAGGGTGAGGATGGGATGCTTATGTTCTGTTAGGCATTGCAAGCTACTATCTCCTGCAAGGACAGGAATTGCCATTTCAAATTGAATTCTTAACAGAGGTTCCCAAGGAAAAGAGACTCCAAAACTTGCCTGTCCTCTTTGGATTTACAGGCCTGCCCTATCTGGCAGTGAGTTATGCCACACAGGCGCTTGCTGCTCCCAGGTTCTGGGCTGCATTGGCAGGACCTGATGTAGGAGTCGAGACTGGGATGTAGGCATAGCATGGTTACAAAGTCTTGTCCTCTGCTGGGATTTATAGTGTGTGAGGTGGAGTCTGAGTGGAAATATTTCAGCTGCTGCCCTGCTCCCTTAGCCCAGTCTGGTTTAGTGGGGAGGGAGGTCAACTTAATAGCGCTGCAGCATGTGTAGCACAGGTACATCTGTAAACCAGCATAATTCCAGCCACAAACTCCCAGCTGCTGTCCCAATGAGCAGCCTCACTGGCTGAGTGATCTCGTTCACCCAAAGGCATGCTTGGGATTACATCTCCATAAGGCTCCAGCCCTTACTGCTATGTATTCCCAACTCCTGAAGCAGGTGAGGGCTGTTTTCTCATCTCTGTTTGAATAGGAGCTGTATGAAAGCAGTAGGTGGTGGTCATTTTTCTCTGCCCTTGTGATACTTTGCTCATTTGTGAAGCAGGGCATGTTCCCTGTCTCTGATGCAGGGCTCCACAAGGCAGGCGAGGATCTTGCAAAGCTCCCTTCGTGGAAAGAATGCAATGACAAACTTCAATACCTTGCAAACATCATTGGAGGAAAAAATCCTTCGCTTTTGCACACTTGGAGACCTCTGCTTTGTCTGGTGTATATTAAGAAAACACTTCCTTACATAATATGTAGAAGTGTTTAGTGATGTGGTCTTCCCATGGTATTCCCCCTCTCTTCATATGAAAGTCTAGGCATTCCGCAGATTGGCCCAACAGACACTTAAGAACACATAAAATGTCTAGTGAAGGTCTCAGACTATGAAATCCTGATATTAAAAATAGTTTTCATCCTTGTGTTAGCAGTGTTGTCTGCTTATGAAAGAGTATTTGATTAGATGGCTATGGCTCCTCAAATAATATGCTATAGAATGCAGGTAGTGTGTATTCTTACCTGTGTAAGCCAAACAGCATGAGAAAATAGTAAACCTGGAGAATACACTGTGGCACTGGAGATAAATGACTTGCTGCATATCCACTGTAATGCAATAGTGGGAAAAGCTGGGATTTTTTAGGGGCTTCAGGTTAAATAAAATAATTAGTCTTACTGTATCTTAATAGATATCAAAAGCTATACCTATTTTGTAACAAAGGTACAGTGCTCTCGTGTTTTGTAGGATACCTCAGAGCAGGGTTTTTTTGGCTGACTTTTTCTAAACAGCCTGTGAATTTCTGCTTGTGTTTTTCCTCTTAGAATCAATATTGAAAATGCTTACTTTGCTGAAAGGGAAGATCCAAGGGAAGCTCCTCAGTTGTATTCAGTTCTCAGTTGTTCAATCTAAACCTACCCTGTTGGAGCTTGAAGCCATTTCCTCTCGTCCTGTCACTAATTACCTGTGAGAAGAGACCAGCACCAACCTCTCTACAGTGTCCTTTCAAGTAGTTGTAGAGAGTGATAAGGTCTCCCCTCAGCCTCCTCTCCAACTTAACTTTTGCTTTTGTGTCTAAAGCCTAGGCAAACTATTAAAGTAGTACTCTTTTTTAAAAATACCACTTAAATGAGTATATATTTCAAACATCCATTGCATTTCTTAAATTGAGAATTTAGAAGTAGAGATGCAACTTTCTAAGTCTTCCAATGAATGCAAATGAATTGTACTAATTTAAAGTAAACCTATCTGTAACGTATGTGTAACCTGTGTAGTTTCTGTATTCATGAATTCAGTACAGAAGAGAATTTCCCAATATCCAGCTTGTATTTATGAGTAGTTGAGGATGCATAACCCATTTGCTGTGAGTCTGACGTGAGCTCCCTGTTACACTATGCTGATACACCCAGCTCTGGAGGGTTCACAGGCTGGTGTCCAGCCAAAGGTGGTGTACATCACCTATGGAGATGGGCTTGCTTTAACTGTTTCATGGGCAAAAAGCTGCTGGACAGGTAGCTGGAATGTGTCCTTTTTGTGATGACAGTTGGTTTCCCCATGGATGGGAATGGCTACATGTGCTTGCAGGACCCTGGCTTGAACATTCTCTCTTCATGCTCTTTGGATTTGTTTTTTTTGTTCAGTTCCAATGCCACTTCATTTGGGTTCCTGTTCCTTGTCACGGTGACTACAGCAAACACCTACAAACAAGCAGTAGCTTGTTCAGCCCAATCCCTGCATTTCCCAGTTATACCAACGTGTGCTGGCTCGGCTCCTCCAGCCGAGCAAGGAAGCCACAGAGTAACCTTCCAATTCATTCTGGTGGCGGTGGCCTATTGTGTTAATAGGCTTGAGGTGTTACCTGTGAGTCTTGCTTTGTGATAGTGTTTTTCTTAACTTGATTTTAGCACCCTACTGTGAAACTTATTTGGGAACAAAATTGCATATGTAGCTTTTTGTGGTCAGAAGGAAAAGCTGGAGGGCATGCCAAAAGTGTATTGCAAAGTTATAGAACCCTGAAGGCAACAGAAAAAGATTCCAGTGTTTGCCCTTCTGTTTCAAAGGGGTTTTAATTAAATTATGTATGAAGTTTTGTGCTGAAGACTATTTTTTTTTAGGAATTGGTGGCTGTAGCCTCTATACTATGGTGATGATGGCAGGAAAGTTCATAATGATTATGGCTTTCAAGAAGGTGTTTTGTTCCACTAAACTAAACTCCATGTGAGCATAGAATCACTAAACAAGAATACATAGGAAATTTTCTTTTAGACTTGTGATGGCAGATGCAAGCCCTTTTTCTGAACCTGGTGTCCTCAGTGTAAGCACAAGTTTCCATCTTAGGTAGATGCCCTTCTGTTAACTTGTTAACTCTGTATGTTTTTTCAGAAGGTGGCATTCCCTTATACATTTACTTTTCTTGGAAGGTATAAAGTGGAGATATCTGTGAAAAGTCTTTCACTGATCTAGTGAGAGTCCATTTTTAAGCTCACCACATCTTGAAAAAAGTAAATGTATACGTCTTATCTACTTAATATGCTTTCATCAGTTAAAGGCCTCTGAGATGTATTGTCTCTTTTGATGAGTTATGCATTCTCATAATCTGTTTTCTTGAACAATGCATGCAGCTCTGGAGAGGGAGCTGAAGAGATGTTCTTTTCAAATGGAAATGGTACCATTCCCATTTGGTGAAGGCAAACTGCTTGTTTGCTTCTCAAAGCAAATAGTAAACTCAGGGCCTTCTACTCCACAGCTGTCCTACCTCTGCAGCTGTGTGGTGGCCAGATAATGTAAGGAGAAACTTCAGTTGCTGATGTAGTGGGCTGCATTAAAACCTTTGCTCCCAAACCAAAGCAGTCTTCCTTGGCCGGTTGAGGGCAGTCATTAGTGTATTCCTGTTTAGTTAGGTGGGGTATATACTGGTTATGGTTATCTCGGTATCATTACAGCAGAATCAGGTGCTAGCTGCTAACCTGCTTTTTCATCCCTAACTATTAATGTCATCTTCAGTCACCTTTGTAACTTTCCCAGTGATGTTAATTGGGTTGGGTGTATGAGAGTCCAAGCGAGAAAATTCTCAGTTCTGGCCTTGGGTCTGTTTTGCGTGTATTTGCTTAATTTTATAACAGAAGTTACTCAGGTTGCTCCCGATTGGGTAAGTGGAAGCTACTGAACTTTCTTCCTCTTCTGTATACTGCATTTGTGTACTGTGTCTTACCTGACAGTCACCTCTGACCTGGGGACAGGACTGTGATTCTGGATTAGGTCTAAATAACTAGTCTGGTGACAAATGCTGCTGATCTCCCTGTGGACATTGTCAGCATCTAGGTCAGACCAAGGAAGGGGGCAGCCTTCTCTTGTTCTCTCTTTTGTCTTGTTCTTTGTCTTCAGCTAACACTTATCTATACCCTCCTTTCTCTGCCCACAGGTAGATGCAGTGCGGGTATATGTGAACAGCAGCTCTGAGAACCTCCGATATCCCGTCCTCTTTGTAGTTCGCCAGCAGAAGGGAGTGCTGTCCTGGCAGGTCCCGCTCATTTTTCGAGGCCTGTAAGTACTGAAGTCTCTTCCTGTAACACACTTGTCTGCCAGCTGTATCCATCATCAGCCTTCCTCAAGTCCTAGATCTTACTGCTTGTGCAGACTGCAGGGCTTGGTTGCAAATCATACTTGCTCACTGTCAGCCGAACATAAGACCACCAGGATTTGGTAGGTAACCTTTTACTTGGAAGCCTGCTCTTGTCTCTTGGTTCCTCAAATAAGTACATGGAGTACCAGGAGGCTTGTCTGCTGAGGATCAGCCTGTGTCACTAACTGGTAGTGGATCTACCACGTGGCATTGTTGTAATTTCTGCAGTTGCTTTACAGCGTGTGCAAGCAGTTCCTGGGCTCTAGTTTGGAGCAGGCTTTGAACAAGGTCTCAAAAGAGCACCCTAACTGGTGTGTTACAGTGCACTTGGGAAATAAGGGCTCTCCTCTGTTTCTCACCTCAGGTACACTTAAGTTGAGTCCATCCTGGGTGGTGGTGGTTGTTTTGGGGATGCATTTTTTTGTGAAAGTGATGTTGCTGTGCAGCTTCAGCAACCTCTGAGCTAATTAGGCTGTGAATACTGAGACTTTGCAGATACTTTAGACCATCTGAGACACGAGGCTTCATCCTATGACAGAAATCCTGGCACCAGGCAGTAGATACTCTGCAGTGTCTTGCCTCATCCAGGGGACAATTACAGCAGTCACTGTTCTGGGATGTTGTTGCATGTTCTGCCTCCAGCAAATAGCAGATGTGTGACATCTGCAGATGGCACAGGCAGCCTTGAGGGAAATAAAATGCTGGTGGTGGTCAGTCCCTTGTGCAGACCACAAGAGGCAACAGAGGTGGGGTTTAAGCTGTGAATAAAATACTGAATGGTCTTGGCCTTTCAGATTAGTATTTCAGTTACGCAAGCAGGGGAAAAAGAATGTCATTCTTCAAACTGCTGAATAACTTTTTAACTGCTATCTCTTTCTCTTCCATCCAACTTTCCCTTCCCTCCTTCCCCTGGCTGTTGTAGCTATCAGAGGACCTACAGTTACCAAGAAGTGAGTCGGACCCTTTGTCCCTCTGAGCCAGCACCTGAGACAGGACGCTCTGACCAGATTATATTTGTAGACGTCGCTTCCATGGCACCATTTAATATCGCATATGAGCTGCTAGTCACCAGGCTCCAGAACTTCCAACTTGAGTAAGCTGGGCTGTGAGAATACAAATGTAACTTCTTCATGTATCTGTTTTACAGGGATTTGGTCCATCTGCCTAGTCTTCCCTTCTTTTTTCTTCTCAAGAACAAATAAAGAGATTATGTTTTTCATAGAATAGTTTGGGTTGGAAGGGACCTCTAAAGTTCATCTAGTCTGACTTTCCCTGCAATAAGCAGGGATGTTTTCAACTAGATCAGGTTGGACAGAGCTCTGAGAAACCTGACTTTGAATATTTCCAGGAATGGGGCATCTGCCACCTTTTTGGGCAAAGTGTTCCAGTGTCTCACCACCCTCATTGTAAATAATTTCTTCCTTATATCTAGTCTGAATCTACCCTCTTTTAGTTTAAAGCCATTACCCATTTTCTTTTGCTTAATCTGAAGGTATTTTGTGTGCATTCCAACTCTGACATTCTGGCATTTCTTTTCTAGGACCAACCAGCCCTTTAACTTCACTGCCAGCCCTTCCCAGCCTCAGGTAAGGGGGAGTCCTGTGTAGCATTGCTTGTGTGTCTTGCCCCATCCAAATGGTTGATGTGATCCTTTGTTAAAGATAGCAAAAGCCATATATGTCTAGCTTGTTTCCCTCTTAGGATGCAGGAAATGTCCTTACTGTGGGATTTTCTGTGGATATTCAGAAGAGGTTACAGTCCCTCAGCTGATCTAGGGGCTGTTTGGGTCCTCTTGCAAAGCAATTAAGCGAACCAAAAACCATGGCCAGAACAAATCAATGGTATCTGCAGTCCAGGAAATTCCAGAAATGTACAGGAGTCCAGAGGCTATTGGACTGCTACACTTCATGGGAAATGAGAGAGTGCACCAACATCTTGTTCCAGCCAGCACTAGTTCAGTTGCTCTAGTGTGACTAGCCAAGATGCGGTCTTTACTGGAGAAAAATAAGTACGTAAATAAATAAGCTGTAAAGGTACAACAGAACTCGGGCTGTTATTCCTTGCTCAGGGCAGCAAGTCAAGTTGCGAGGTGAAAAATTAAATGCCTGGTAAGTCTGGTTATTAGTTCAGAAGAGAGCACACATGTACAGCACATTCAGCTGAGCAGCCTTGTTTAGAGCCCTGCAGATACTACAAGTCCTGTCTTGAATGAAAATGCTGTTGGCAGTAACTATGGTGATACAGAAGCTCATAGAGCTGGGAAGGGATGTAATATACCCAGGCTGTCTGGTAACTCCATTTTTTTTGTTGCTATCACTGTTAGTAACACCACTTAATTTTAGGTTTCCTATTACCAGGAATCCCAGCTAACATTTTTTGCTGTCAAATGTCTTAAGCTGGTTTGCAGACACATGCAGTATTTTGTACTATAGAAGCATAGGGAATGGTGGTGCCTCTTTATAAACCCTCCTTTCTTAGGATCTTACCATTTTGATGTAGACTGTTTAGGATCTGGCCTGGAATTTATTTTGTGACTTTGGTCTGTTATATGTCACAGTTAAGAATATGAGATTGGTAACTTTTAATTATAGGCCAGATGTAGCAAGTAGAAGATGAGAGATTCTTAATGGGTATAATGCTGAGGCTTTTGTAAATCAAAGTATTAAGTAGTCCAGGGGACAGGAGAGGAAAAAAAAAGGCAATTCAAAAGCTAGCTGTGTTGGAATAAATCGAAGGCTGGAAAAAGACAAGCATAACGACTGAAGGACTGACTGGCAAAAGCTAGCTGTGTTGGAATAAATCGAAGGCTGGAAAAAGACAAGCATAACGACTGAAGGAGTTGTCCTTCAGAACCCAGCTCATGCCTGAAGGCAGAAGGAGAAATTAGATAACACTCGTATAGGTCAGGAGTGTTGCCTGGATGTGTTTATACCACTTGTAGTCTGTGCAGGAGAGAACTGTAGGTCTTGATGCCCCTTATGTCAATTCTGTACTCTGGTAAAAGCGTGACTTAAAGAAAATTATAGAAGGGTCCTCATGGGCAACTTCCTCAAGGTCAAAGCTTTCCAAGGGTAGTACACCTGGGAAACCAAGGAGCTCAGACTGCCAGCACCCTTGCTTGGCTGAGATAAAACTTGCTCTGTTGAAGAAACCTGCTTGGTGAGTTTTCAGTTTGTAAGGACTCGCGGTTGGGGCCAGCACTCCCTCAGCAGTGACGGGACCCTGCTTAGAGGGGGGGGATGGGAATAAATGCTTTAGTAAAAATGGACAAACTTGGAAAAAGTCTGGTGATTTCTTACTTATCCCTGCCTTTCCAACTGGGGGCTCTTCTTCTTGGGAAGGGGATGGGCGAAGGGAAATCTGAAACAGCTGGCCCTTGTTCAGCACTAAGCTCTGTGTGACATAAAGGGAGCTCACCAGTTTGGAATGGCTCAGGTTACATATTCAGAGCAGGAGCTTCAGTGATTTCCTGCCCTGTGGGCTCTGCCTGTCCCAGAGCAGCAGTGCTGCCAGGTGACCATGAGGAAGGGAGGAAGGTGGCTGGTAGCAGTCCTCAGCCTTCTGTCTCCTCGCCTGTGCGGTGAGGTGCCCATCAGCCCCTCATGGTAGCTCTGACTGTGAGCCTGAGTTCTTAGGGTCTGGGCCTCAAGTAGGATGATGGGAGCCCTGCAACAAGCAGGCACAGAAATGCTACTTCTCCAGCAACTGGCAGATGTAGTACATCAAACTTTTACTGGAAAAATATGCAAATAATGATGTTGCCTGGGACATCTTTTGCCCAAATCTGAAAAGGCCCTTTCTGGGACAGGGAAGGGCATTTCCTGACCCCACAGACTGTCCTCTGGGTCTGCTCAAATCATGGAAGCACAAGAAACACTATTCCTTGCCTGCAGAGGAAAAGTAGGAACATTAGCAGATGTTAGTCTCTCCCAATTTTTTTCAGAGCTATAGGTGAATTATTTTCAAAGCTGAAGTGAGAAGTGAAAATCCCCATTACCCTTTGCCCTCAAAATGAAACAAAACCAAAAAACCTAAATCCTACAACTAATATCAGGCATTTATTTATTAAACTCTTGACAGAGTTTCAACCATTTGACCTAATACTTCCCACAGTCTGTCTTTGCAACAACCCATTTGAGATAAACTCCATAATGTGTTCCATATATAAAGTACAGCCAGCAGTCTGGAAACATCTGGAAATTGCTCATAGCAATATAAAATGGAGTAGGGTATGAAATGAAGTCACTTTATCTTGATCAGGTGGAAAAAAGCTTAAGGTGAACAGAAGCTATGCTGTATCTTGCGTGTTGAAGATGTCTGTGTCTAACAGTGTGCTATGCAAGGGGGAAGAGTTGTCTGTACATATTTTATCTGCTCTTCTGTAGTGTAAGATCCTAAGATTTGAAATCTGGATTTTTATGAAAGCCCTCCACATCCAGCCCAGAAGCCCAGCTTGATACTGTACAGATACCTTAGGGAGACTAAAGCTACTGTCAGGGATGACTTCTGGACCATAACTCTCAGTACTCTGCTTTCTCCTCAGTATTTTCTGTACAAGTTTCCTCAGGATGTCGATTCGGTCATTATTAAAGTGGTGTCTGATGCAGTCTACCCATGCTCAGTTGTCTCCGTCCAGGATATTGTGGTAAGTCTGAGCAGAGAAGGGTAAGGAGTTACTGCTGGAGCTTTGTGTCCTTCTGTGAGGGGCTCTCTGTCCCAACAAAGAGAGAACCCCTAATAAGGACTTCATCCTAGTGTGGTGCTGGTAAAGGGAGCCCCTGAAAGAGGAATGAAAATCTTCTGGCAAGGAGGCAAAGACAGAGATGCTGAGTTCAAGCAGCTCATACAGGGATTTTTTCTTGCAAGTAGGTGAACAAGCTGTTCCCCTCCAGCCTGTCCATAGGGCATTTTTTGTGTTCCCTTCATGCAGTTTAATACCCTGATGCCTTTGTGAAATGGGTCTGTCTCTGCAGAGTGGTGTTGGATGGCATGCTGGTGCCTGAGGAAGGGGGCAGTGCTGTTCCCTTGACTCTTCCCTGGCTCAGGGCAGCATGGGAACGTCTGATTTCCAGACATGTGATCTCTCCTTTCCAATTTGATTTCCTCTCTAGCCTATTCCTTGTTCCCTTTCCTGGGAAGGGGACAACAGCTGTTCCCTTCCATGGAGGTTGGGTGTTTCTTCCAGCTGGGAAATAGCTCCTCCTTTCCCACCTCCCTTAGTGATGCAGGGACATGCAGTGTGGGAGCAGCAAGATGGTGACAGAGGTGCAAGATGCCTTGACTGCTGCCTGTGAAGTTCTGGCTGTCACCTTTTAATACTTGGGGTGAGGAGAGAAATGGGTGACATCAACTCCTGCCCATATCCCTATGTTTGAATGGTAGAAGAGCAGGAGGGGAGACTGACAAGTGAATTTCCAACCTGTCAGGTACTAAGAGTAGTGGGAAAGACTAAGATGAGGACAAGCACTTGGCATATAGTACAGCACATAAAGCATGTCACACAGCCAGTGTATAGCTGAGTGCATGCACTGCCCTGTGGGAATAGTGGAGCGATGACTGTGGCTGAATCCTCTTCTGGGATTAAACTGCAGCCTCTTGTGAAGACTGCTGAGATCAGTGATTGCAGGCTGCAAGTGATGTCTTCAGAGCAGCTTTTCTGGGTTCTGAATGGGTGCTCGTTGTTTTGTTCCTTTTGGCAACCCAAGCAGGGCCTTTTTCTGCTGCCCTGCACTGTCTGTTCTCCTGCTGGCTCTCTACAAAATTAGTTAGGATTTTGTGCCTGGTTTAATCCTTGGTTGTGTCTGTTTTAGTGCCCAGTGTATGACTTGGACCATAATGTGGAGTTCAATGGTGTTTACCAGTCTATGACAAAGCAGGCAGCTATAACAGTACAGGTGAGATGCTGACTATTTTTTTCTTTTGTCTCGGGGTTTAGAGGTGTGTGGGTTGGTTTGTTTTTCTCTTCCAACCTGCCCTTTCCCCCCAGTGGCTTGTCTTGTGCATGGCTATGATCATTTGTTTTTATTAGATAAGCTGACATAAGTAGAAGAGGAGATGTTACCATTTACCACAAAACCTTGCTTATGTTTGCTTAGGCAGGTGTGTTATACCTTAGGTGCTGAGGCTCTAGATCAGAGTGGCTGCAGCCAGGTGTCTTCTCTTTGAACCTTAGCTCTTCTATCACCGGGTGGTGGTAATAGGGCCTTATAATCAAAACTTATGTGGGTGGCTTGCACAAAATAAATGAATGCTTTAGCATTGGTTTCCTTGTTCTGGGGTACTGCTGTACTGCATTCTGATGAACTCACTGAGTTTATTGTCAGCAAGGATGTGGAGCAACCCCAAACACCAAACTCTGTCCAGAACAAGCAGATCTCTGTAAAGCTAGTGACTCTGTAGCAACAAAAACCTGATCTCTGGCCCTGTGGAAATCATCATCATCTGCTTTGCATTGGAAGGAGAGGTTGCTTTGCTTCTCATGGATTCTGTCATCTTCTGTCCTCCCATGCAGAAAAAGGACTTCCCAGGGGAGCAGTTCTTCGTTGTATTTGTCATCAAGCCAGAGGATTATGCCTGTGGGGGTTCTATGCCTTCTTCCCTTCCTGGTAAGTTGTGCTGGGAGGCAGATTTGGTTGCAGCATCCAGATGGTGGAACAGCAGGAGTCCTTGGGAACCTTCCTGTAGAATGACACAGCATGGTCATAAATCTCTATCTTATCCAGGTAGTTGTGAGGAAGAACGAAATATAAACTTTTTATCATTGGGTAGGTTAAAATCTTGATCAACCCCGGAAATGGCTGACTAGTAAAATATCTGGCTTGCTGGGGTTATGTGCTCTTCTGAGGAGTCATTGGTGTCTTGGGAGATACTGGAGACACCCAAACAATACTGCTTACAGATTTTGGTGTGGTTTTCTTTTTATTTTTTTTTTCCCCCCTACTGCTCTATTTTCCTCCTACCTGCATGGAGACACAGATGGTAGTTCCTGCAGAGAGCACCTTCTCCAACTGTTACCTTGGGATCTATGACAATCTCATGACTTGGCAGGAGCAGAAGCAACTAGTGATTCTGGGGCAATAATTTTGAGAGACTTGTTCTAGTACCTTTCCCAGCCAGAAAACACTGTGTCTATCTCCTGGGCAGTGGTAAAAGCAAAGCTTCCACCACTCATGTGGTGGGTGAAACTGAAGTGGGTATGCAGCTCTCCTCACGACAGCTGGAGCCCATTTCAGATTAGGGCCATTCCTATCCTCAAAGCTGGATGGCTTTCTCCCTGTAGGAGAAGCAAGACCGCAACCAACAGATATAGTGGCCTCTCCCAGTTCCCACCCTGTAGAAGAATTGTCACCTTCCAGGTGCCTTTCTTTTACCCTAAAGCTGTCAGCAGAGCTGTACTGGCAGGGTGTGCTAAGCCCTGCTGAAACATAACAAGTTACTAGCATGACATCCTGCACGGGAGTGTTCTGCCAGCACAGTTTTGGCCAAAGGCAAAAATGGTGTCCCAGTATTTGCAGTGACAAACTGCCCTTTGGGGACTGATGAATAGGAGACAAGATGTTTGTGGGATTCGGGCATCCAGACTTGAGCAATGTGTGGAAGACTCAAGCTGGGATTTCTAGTCTGAAATTGGGTTGTGGATTGGAGGGAGGTGGGGGAAATACATGGAAAAGGCTGTACATTGACAAGTCTGAGAGGTTTAGAGCAAAACCTCAAACAGATCTTAGTGAAAAGGCAGATCCTGGTGTTATTGCAAGTGCAGAGACCTGAGATAGGGGCTAAAGATCGCTCATGTTTGATTGTTTTTACATTTGATGTACACTTTGTATCTCACAGGGAAATTCAACCGTACCTGGAACCTGCAACGGACGAAGAGCCTTCAAGTGACAATTGTGCCGTCTATTAAAAGTCAGTGTCTTTGTGCAGAGCAATGAAGCTTTATGGGGGGATTTGGCAGTTCTGTGTAGCAGGGTATGACTGGGCTGGCAGCCCTCTGATGGGGAGGTGCAGAAAGCACCATCATAAGAGGTAAAACCATCGCAGTCCTGGTTCCTTCCAGGAGATATTGTGTGGCACAGGGTGGTCTCATGGGCACACCATCTACCACTGGAGGTGAAGAAATGGGGGGGAAACGTTACAACAGATTCTGGCAGTTTATTTTGAAGGAAACCAATGGGTCTTGAAGGACTGTTTGGGGCTGGGCCAATACCCAGCCCAATTCCCAATACTAGATGGTATTGGGAAGAGCAAGACAGGAGCAATGGCTCTGAGAGGGACTGTCCCCGCTCTGAGTTGACTAATGTCGTCTTTTTCCTCAGAGTCTGTTTATGTCCAGGCCATGTTCTTCAGCTTCCTGAGTTTCCTCTCCTTTTACCTCGGCTCAGTGGTGGTTGCTTTTGTGCACTACATCAGGTGAGTCGAGGGGTTTTACAAGAACAGCCTTTCTGTTGTTTCTTCATTCTCTGAGATGTCATCTTCTCAGAGATGTGTCACCCTGCAGTGAATTCAGGGCAAGTGGGGCAGCAAGCATCTGAACAGAGCAGCCAAACAAGTCTGTGGGCTCCTACTGACCATCAGCCAGGATTTTTCTTCCTGGCCTGCCTTTTCTGCCCCAAATCTTGCTGCTTGGGCTTGTGTTGAAGGAAATATCTGCATCTGAGGTGAACTTGGGCACAGCTACCATGGCAGGTTGCTTTTGGGAGGGGGGTGGGATGGGAAGCAAAACTCTTCCCAGTTGCCTCAGGGTCCTCTATTACTTGCTGGAGGTGTTCTTGAAGTCAGAGCAGAACTGGAGTGCCAGGAAGGGGATAGCAACCTAAAATGGAGGTAAGATTTGCTCCTGTAGGGTGGGTTACTGGTAACACAGGATGATCACCTTGGTAGGGCAGCGGGCAAGTGCTCTTAAGGTGCTGGGGATGGTTGAGTTTGTTGGGATCCGTCACTGCTGCCTGTGTAGGCAGTGACAATGGTTAAGCAAATCCTTTGTCCAAACCATGGAAGCTTGAGAGTAGGGAGGCCCCTTCAACACTTTTCTGCCTTACTGGGCAAAGGTTGGCATGAGAAGAGCCATATAAAGCTTTAAGCAAATAGCAGGTTGGTTTTGTGGGAACCACACTTATCAGCCAACTCCCCAGACTGAACGTGGCAGAGTTTTCAGTTGCTTCAGAAGAGATCTTAAAGGTTTGGTGCTCTGAAACAAAACAGTCTCAAGATGGGAGCATGGCTTAACTTCAAGACACATCAATGAAACAACAATTCATTGGAATAATTAAATGAAATTACTTAAGTGTGTGTGCTCTTTTTGCTGTTATATTTTCTTTGTTGTGAGCATATGTTTGTTTTGTTTTCTTTTTCTTACCTGCCCCAGCTTGGCACCTGCATTGAAGGAGGTAGTGTTGGCTTCTTAAGCATTGTGCTGATGCATGCCACTAGCTCCTGCTGCTCTTTCAGTAGATTCTTATCCACTTGGTCTTTTGAGCAGGGGAGCTTGATTTAGGAAGGTTGTGTGAGAGTCTCTCCCAACATGCAGTGCAGGATGGGATGGTAACTGATGTCACGTAACTGATTGTCCTGCCTCTGGTGGATAACTGAGGAGTTAAAAAAAAATACCTCTGCTTTGGAAGCTGGAGGGGTGGACAGCAATCAGTCATTGCTGAGCCATGCCTAGTCCAAACAGTATTCTGTTTGTTTCTTTATTTTTATGGGGTTTTGTGTGCTTGTTTTTTAGAACTTGCCCTATGTTTATCTGTTGTTGTCCTAGATCATCCTGTCATGGCTAGGTGATGGGGTTTCTTGGCTATCTCATGAGTGCTGCCTGTTCTTTTTCAGAGTTCGAAGGAAGGCTTCAGCTGGGAGATTGAGTCCTGGGGATGGTAAGGTCTCTCTTCTATTGTGTGGCAGCTTTAAGTGAACAGCACAAGTCCCAGGCCAGGCAAGGGACAGGCTGTCAGTCAAGTACCTTCTGTCTCTTCAAGCCTTCTTCCCTGTATATGTACCACATAGTCTCCAGTGCTGATGAAAGATGTTGGAGCTTCCTCACAAGAACCTTGTTCTGACCCCTTGCCCTGAGGAGCTGGCTTTTAAAAGGGTGGAGGAAGGGCAAGCCCTGGCTAGGCCTGGCTACAGGCTAATGTTACTTCTGCCACGTCTGTTCATTTCTAAACAAGACACATTGAGTTTCAGTTCTTGTGCTTTAAGATTTCCTCTGCCTGGTTTAAGCATGGAGTCTCTATTTTCTAAATTTAATTTAAATTTTAGTTTGTTTATAACTTGCAGTTGCACACTACCAAGTGAATGAATGACTAATACAGTTAGGTTGTGGTGTTTGTGTTATTTACTTTGGTATTTGATTCAGTTTACTTTATGCTGCACCCATATTTCAACATACTGCAGATTTCTGCATTATAAAAGCATAGCTGCATCTAAAAGGCTATCAGTGAAAGATGGAAATTTTTGTCATGTGGATGGGCAGCACTGGGAGTTTCTGCTTTCTGGAGAAGTGTGGGAGGCTGGCTGTGTCATTTTGTTTAAATATTTAGTGCCTGCAAAGTAGTTCAAAGCATTGGTCTGAGGATAAAGACATCATCATTTGTACCCCTTTCCTGGGGAAAGGGAGGGTGTTATGTTTTGGCAGCACTGAAAGGTTATTGGTGTGTTCCCTTTTTTAACCTCCAGCTTCTTCAGTCCCTCCAGTCTGTTACATACCACCAGATAAGCACACTAGTGTAACTGAGCTATGCTTAAAGGATCAGCAGTGGAACTGACCCAAGCATTACTTGGGTTAATATTTCTGCTAAGGACCTGGGGGCATGTGGTTTCTCAGGAGCGGCTTCTTCAGGCACTGTGATCCACATAGGCATCCCTCTGTGTGGAATGTGTGTGAAAGGTGTTTTCTTCACAACCAAATGAATAGGGGACTGTAAAAATGTATTTTAAAACATTCTAATTTTAAGTCATTTGGGATGGGCCCTGCTGTGACACAACAGCAGATCTTAGGCCACTGGAGAAATGGGAAGGGCCTGTGTGTTCTGGAGTTTGGGGAAGATGAAGGAACCTGTCTGAAGCCCTGGAAGAGCTCCAAGGTTGTGACAAGGGATCACTGTCTAAGGCAAGGAGGCAGTCTCAGCTGGGTGAGACTGAAGCCCCAGACAGTGCTGCTGGTGCTGCACCTGAGGGTTCAAGTACTGAAGGCAGCTTTGAAGCTGCTTTCCACGCTGTACTGGTGAGAGGTGGAAGATAAATTCTGGTGCATGGTTGCCAAAGAAGCTGCAGGGCACAGATGCTGTGCTTAGCACAACCTGGAGGGCAGAGAACTGGTTTCCTGGGCAGGAAGGATTGTTGAACAGTATCCCTGAGAGAGAGCAGAGGAGCACAGTTCCTTCAGAATGTACATGTTTTCTCCAAAACATCTGCTTCTTCTGTGATCTGTCCTCTCCCTTGTATTCTATGTCATCTTCACAGAGTCCTTTCCTCTGGGAAGGAACCATGTTTTACCCTCGTGCTGTTTCTTTCTCTATTGGTCTCTTCAGGGTGTGTGTCTGACTGATGCCTATAAAATGGTAACTAGCATGTTCCCTTTCATAAAATAGTTTGGGTAGGGAGAGACCTTTAAAGGTCATCTAGTCCAACCTCCCCGGCAATGAGCAGGGACATCAACTAGATCAGGTTGCTCAGAGCCCTGTCCAACCTGGTCTTGAATGTTTCCAGGGACGGGGCATCTACCACCTCTCTGTGCAACCTGTTCCAGTATTTCATCACCTTCATTGTAAACAATTTCTTCCTTATATCTAGTCTAAATCTATACTCTTTTTGTTTTAACCCATTGCCCCTTGTCCTATCTCTACAGGCCCTATTAAAAAGTCTGTTCCCATCTTTCTTATAAGCCCCCTTTAAGTATTGAAAAGTCATACTAAGGTCTCCCCAGAGCCTTCTCTTCTCCAAGCTGAACAACCCCAACACTCAACTTTTCTTTGTAGAACAGATGTTCCATTTGTCCTCCAGGTTACCCAGGGCACACCAGCTTTCTCTCTTTATTTTTTTTCTCTATTCCTTCCCACATGCTAAGCAATCTGTCTCTGCCTGTTGTCTTTGAATATCCTGCAACTCCATGTGCCCTTTTGCTCCTGTTGCCCATCTAATGCTCACCTTCTGTGGCTCACTTTTTTTTTTTTTTTTCCCCCAATCCTGTGGGTTACCTCCCATTCCACATCACTATCTGGTAGAGGCAATAGCTGGAGGAACCACACCTAGTGAGGTACATATACTTTGCTGACTCACTCGCACACTGGGAAGTGGGACTGAAATTAGTGGGTGAGCTGGGTCTGAAGCAGCTGTAAGAGACAGGGCAGAGCACCTCTTCTCTGTGGCCTCCCTGCTTTGTCCAGATTTAAATCTTCCCTTGGTTACTTGGGAGCATCCAACCTGGTCTTGAATGTTTCCAGGGACGGGGCATCTACCACCTCTCTGTGCAACCTGTTCCAGTATTTCATCACCTTCATTGTAAACAATTTCTTCCTTATATCTAGTCTAAATCTATACTCTTTTTGTTTTAACCCATTACCCCTTGTCCTATCTCTACAGGCCCTATTAAAAAGTCTGTTCCCATCTTTCTTATAAGCCCCCTTTAAGTATTGAAAAGTCATACTAAGGTCTCCCCAGAGCCTTCTCTTCTCCAAGCTGAACAACCCCAACACTCAACTTTTCTTTGTAGAACAGATGTTCCATTTGTCCTCCAGGTTACCCAGGGCACACCAGCTTTCTCTCTTTATTTTTTTTCTCTATTCCTTCCCACATGCTAAGCAATCTGTCTCTGCCTGTTGTCTTTGAATATCCTGCAACTCCATGTGCCCTTTTGCTCCTGTTGCCCATCTAATGCTCAGCTTCTGTGGCTCACTTTTTTTTTTTTTTCCCCCAATCCTGTGGGTTACCTCCCATTCCACATCACTATCTGGTAGAGGCAATAGCTGGAGGAACCACACCTAGTGAGGTACATATACTTTGCTGACTCACTCGCACACTGGGAAGTGGGACTGAAATTAGTGGGTGAGCTGGGTCTGAAGCAGCTGTAAGAGACAGGGCAGAGCACCTCTTCTCTGTGGCCTCCCTGCTTTGTCCAGATTTAAATCTTCCCTTGGTTACTTGGGAGAGAAGGTTGACAAGTCACTTGAGAGCGTAAAGCCTGGTCTAAAATAGGGAGGGAGCATCTCTGTGGGACAGGACTGATGAGAGAAGGAAGTGTGCATGTGCCTTGGTGCCATGAACGTGGGCAAATGCTTCTCTTGCCCTCTTCCCAGTGATCTGGATTCCCAAATGATTTTAAAGCAACAGAAAAAACTGCCATGAGAGAGGGAGGGTTGCACAGCAGGTGAAGAGTAGAAGGTGGATCTTGACCTTGCAGCAACCTACAAAAATCTGCTAATCCCAGGTGAGCACTGAAGAGGTGTCATATGGGGGGCTGTGGTATGCCAGAGCCTTCCTTCTGGTGCTCAGTCCGTGCCGTGTTATCCACTTCAGATAGGGCAATAAACAGCTTGGAGGACTGTCAGAGGAATGGGGCAGGAGGGTAGAGAAGCTGAAATGGAGACCAAGTCTTAACCCACAGCCCAGCAAGCACAGTGAATGTGTCAAAGGAAAGCAGTAATCTGGACTTGAAACACCAACTGTCATTGCTGTGTGAGTGCTCCCCTGCCTAGGAATCGGGCTCAGGCAGGGAAAGTCTTGGGACTCTTTACATATGAGGCTAATGGAAATAGTATAAAAATCTATATAAGATGTTATAGAAGTGCCTGGAATTGCTAGGTGGAAAGAGGATGTTGTGTGTGCCTGTCAGTTTGGGACAGATCAGGTACTGGGAAGCCAGAGATGCAGCTTGGGAAGCTCGGCCATTTCCAGGCTTGCAATGAAGTTGCTTGCTTTAAATACTGTCCCATCTCTTTTCCCTTTGTTGGTGACTGGTCACACCATGTTGTTATGAGGGTAAAGCTTTACAAGCAGCTGGATCTGTCTCGCTGTTTGCCACCATTGGAAGATGTGGTCCTGTTCCACATCCTGTTCCTTGTGTTCCTGTTGAATAGATTTAAGTGTGAGTAGGGGAAGGAGAAGAATTAGAAATTCATAAGGGTGCTCTGAATATTGTGAGACTGGCTCTAGAATTTGCCAAGTTTTGCATAATGTGATCCTTACAGTGTGCTGGAAGGAGGCTCCTGCTTTTGCAAGATGAACTGGCAGCCTGTGTGGGGAGGCTGAAGGGATGGGATTGCTTCACGTTGCAAAGCAAGGGTTTCCCTTTTGCACAGTATGCTCCAGAGGGAGACTGCCATCTGTTTGGAAAAATGCTGCTTTTCCCAAGCCCCTCCAGCTCTTTATGCTGTTTTTATTCACCTCAGACATGTGTTTTGAAGCACTGACATGAAACTAATTGTCCCTTATGGGTCTGTTTCCATTGCAGGATCTGGGATGATGACGTCATCGCACCCCATCACAGCCAGCACCCCTGAGGGAAGCAGCTACGGTGCTATTGGTACAGTATCTTCCAGAACTGGGGACACAAGGAGGGTTCTGTCTGGGGCAGGGGAAGGCACTTTAAAGTATTTTAAAGCCAGAAAATAATATAGCTGCAGGTTGCTCTAAGAGCAGCTTGTAACTACTTGAAAAAGAAATTGCAGTTTGGGAGGTTAAGGTTGTACGTTAGGGCAAAAAATCTACACCAAAAAGGTGGCAAATCTCTGGAAGAGGTGCCCAGAGAGACTCTGTCATTGAAAATATTTGTCTTAGCTAGCCAAAGCCACAGTCACCTGATAGGTGCTAGTGACAGTGCCACTTCAGGCAGGATGTTGACTAGGGGCTGACAAAGGTCCTGGCAAATGAGAGGGGAGAGCAGCTCTGGGTGATTTTTCGATCCCAGCTCAGGATGCATTTGCTCACTCTAAAGACAGCCCTGACACTCCAGATGTCACCCAGTTGTTGGACTGTGAAGGTGTGCTATCTCAGAATGCTCGACAAAGAAACACAAACCCCAAAAAATTTCATGAGGTTTGGGAAAAATATCAGGCGAATTGAAGTACTGGAATAGAGTTGAAGGCTTCAACACCACTCTACTCCCTTTCCCAATACCCAAGGAATTACTTTAAAAACATTTGGGAAATAAGAAAAACTTGTGTTCTGCTCATGCTGGTATGGGCAGTGGGCTGGCTGGGAGCTTGGCCAGCCTGTGGGAAGTACAGGCAGGTCCTGTTGACCTGCAGGTGACCAAAACTGTGCATGCAACAGAAAGAAAGCTGATGCTCTGCTTGCTGTGAAAAATTGACCGACTTCCTCTTTTGTTCTACAATATTTTTAGAAAAGCTTATATAAAATCTGGACACTAACTAGGTCAGCCTGTTTCTGACCCCTGAACAGTCTGCTGCTTTCACCAGAGCTTTCTGGCTTGTCTCGGGCTTCCAGATTTCAGATCCCAGGCTAGTAAAGAGTAGAAAACATTAGAGATTAGAAGTAATAGAATAAAAGCAGGGGAAAAAACAAAATGCTGCATAGAGTGGAATATGGTCCTTCAAAATGTTCTTAGCTGATAATCTGAGACTTCTGGGAAGATTTGTGATTATGGAAAAACTTGTTCCCTGAAAATGCTGTATTGACTTGTCCGAGGATGTTGCAGCTGATATCTGGGGCAGCTTTTATTGCTTTGTATAGAGGGCATTTAGCCTTTACCCTGCCTGTTTCCTTCTCCCTACTCTGTTCCAGATGAGTCAAGCTCCAGTGGTGGGCATCAGTTGTCTTCCCCTGGGTGCAGGCCACCAGCTGGTTCTGACACAGACAGCTCTGTGGAAGAGGAGAGTGACTTTGACACCATGCCAGAAATTGAAAGTGATAAGAATGTCATCCGCACTAAGGTACGGCTGGCGTTGCAGCTGTGGCCATGGTGCTGGGCCATGGACACATCTGGGCTAGGACCAGCACTAATCACTTGCCAGGGTTTTTAAGTTTCTGCTTCCCTTTTAGGTGGATTTAATCTAATAAAGCCGAATGTGCTTTCTAATGCTTTTTCAGAGTTCTAGAAAGTTTTCCAGCTGTGCTAAGTCTGCTGCTGAAATGAGTGATTTTAATATGGAAAATCAGAATCTATTGGGGACTTTTGAGAAAGGAGGAAGAAGCCCAGAGAGTAGCAGAAAGCCCAAGGAGGTGGGACAGCACAGGGAGAAAATAATGTGCAATAGTAGGTAGTTATCTGGTATGAGTAGTATAACTGCAGTGGATGTACAGAGGGGTTTTAAGCTAGCAACATTCAAACTGCCTCCTGTTGTCACCCTGCACTGCTTTGTGTGGTCAGAGCCATTCCTGGGGATCAGAGGGTTTCACAGAACTCATTCCCCACAGAATCAAGGGATACAACGAGCTTGCTGTATGTGGGGGGGGTGTGTGGGGTGTGGAATAAATCCACGTAGCACCAAGCTGCATATTGTCCAAATACCTCAAGATCTTCTATTGGCTTCTGCAGTATTCATTAGTTCTTTTCTGTTTTTTTTCCCCCCCTCTTTCCCCACCCATTAATGTTGTAGGTGTTCCTCTATCTATCAGACCTGTCCAGGAAGGACCGAAGGATTGTCAGCAAAAAATACAAAATCTATTTCTGGTAAGGAGAAGACAACCTGGCAGGGCCCAAGCTCTGGACCTAGTCTCTGGTTGTGGAGTGTTGTCCACATGCCCTTCTTGTGAACCACACTTTAGACCTGAGGATATTCTTTGAGCCTTAATGTTACACATTCTGACCCTGTTCTAACTAGTAATTACAGATCCTACATATCTTACATAAGGATATTTGTGAACAAATAAGGATATTTCCTGGCACGTGGATTCTAATTTGCATAATTGCTTTTAAGTGTTGTGACATCCAGTGGGCTGGAACATACTGAGGAAGGAGAGAAGTTAGCACTCAAACACATGAGCTTGTGGTCCATATCCTGGCTTTTCTTATGCCCCTAGCATTTGCCTCCTGTCTGCATTAGCTCATCTGCTCTTCTGCTTCAGGAGGTATAAAGCTCCATCTGGGAGAGTGGGGTCTGTACCCTTAGGTGTGGAGGTGTACACATTTCTCCACAAGCACCTTGGGGCTGTGTCCTGGGTGTGCACCAGTTGTTTTGGTGTGTGTAATGTGTAACTGCTGCTTTCATCTCCTCTGCAGGAACATCATCACCATTGCAGTGTTTTATGCCCTGCCAGTCATCCAGCTCGTCATCACTTACCAGACGGTGCGTTGGACTCTGGCTGTGCCCTGTGCTTGGGTCCTCTTGCCTTTAAACTTGTTCCATGGCTGCACAGTGTAAGGATTACAGTCACAGTGAAACTGGGATCACCCAGGAAACCTCCTCTGTCTGAGGGGCAGTTTATCTTACCTGCTCCCTCTGTACCCTATATTGAGTGTTGCTGCTGGTTTGGCTCACTGAGCTTGCAGTTCTGCTATTTTTGCTTGGGAAGCAGGAGTGCAGATGTTTTCCTGATCATCTGATGTCTCTTTTGGGGCCTGTTTCATTTTGGAGGCAGGAGGAATCTGCTGTTATCTCTAAAAGACAACTGAAAGCAAGTAGGGTTTGCTGTGATACGAGTGATTTCTCCGCCCTTCTCCCTGCCCCATCCTTTCTATCCTGCTGTTAATCAGATACCTGCAAGCAGATATATTAGTGGTGAGGTTGAGAGTGCACAGTATGTTTCCTCTGAAGATTTATCAGGTTTGTGGCCTGTGGCAACGTCTTGTCCCCCGCTAAAAGCCTCACTTGTAGATGTCAGCACTCCCCTGTGCCAGTGCTAGAGCTAGGCTGTGTCTTGGTATACCTTGTGTACATGCAGTGTTTGCGTGGAGCAAACCCCCCCAGAACAGAAAGGATTTGCTAATACCAGGTCTCCCACCTCCTCTCTGTCCAGGTAGTGAATGTGACGGGCAATCAGGACATCTGCTACTACAACTTTCTGTGTGCTCATCCCCTTGGGGTGCTGAGGTGAGTGAGCCCTGCGGTCCTCCTGAGTGTTCATGCTGTGCCCAGGTCAGGATTTTACCCTTCCCAGGCTCTGAGTAACAGTCTTGATAAGATCACTGAGAGTTTAGGACTCTGAGCTGTTTTGCTCAGCAGCGGCTTTCTGTTGCAGAGACACATGTGCCCATGAATTTATGGTACCTCTGCGCCCCCAGCAAACCTACCCACGCAGCAATGAAGGGCTCCCATGATCTTTTGGACACTTGTGCTTCAATCCAAGGAGCAGCAGCTCTGCAAAGTAGTTCAAATTAGTCCTTTCAGTGCAGTATTTTTCTGAGTGCAAAGAAAGCCCCGATTTGGGAATCTTGCAGAGAAAGTGTTAAATCCACTGGGGCAGGTGAACTACTTAATTTGAAATTGTCATCCAGGGTGTAAAACTGGCAGATGTTTGGCAGCTGCCAAAGTGGAGGATGCAGGCTGGGGTGGTGGTGGGGAATGACAGTAAAATGGATTCAGCTTATTGTGGCACACGATTCAACTTCCTGCTGCTGTGCTGCCCTTGTCTTAAATGTTTTTCCCTGCAGTGCCTTCAACAACATCCTCAGCAATGTGGGCCACATGCTGCTGGGCTTTCTCTTCCTCCTTATTGTCTTGCGCAGAGACATTCTTCACCGTCGGGCCATGGAAATGAAAGATATCTATACCCTGGTAGGAAACGTGTTTGCAATGGGCTGGGTGGAGGGAGGGAACGACAAGGAGAATTTAAAAACCAGTTTGATACACAGTGGGTTTCCATTTGTCTTCCTTGCCAGGGGATTAAATCTTTCTCTTTCCTGCCCCAAAAGAGGATGTAGGTGGGACACTTATGTTCTTGCACATCCCAGTACTTTGCTGCTTGTGGTATGTCCATACTACCATGGTGACCCAGCCTGGTCTTGCAAAGACAGGGAGATGAGTAGAGGGAATGACTTCTTTGGCTGTGGCTTTTCCTACAGTGGAGGAACTGGGATGGATGAGCTGGGTGGGAGCATGTATGGATTCCTACCTTGACCCATGCTATGAGGAAACAGGCAGTAAGAAGTAGTGTCTGCTTTCTAGAAAGGACAGAAGGAGGTTCCTGTGAACAAAGGATTGTAATGGGGCTTGTGAAAAGCACAGCCTGGTAATTAGTATCCTGTTCTGTGAATGTTTGTTGCTGAAACTTCTTTTGGGTGTGTGTGGAAAGTAGGAGTGTCTTGAGATGCTTTTGTTTATAGTGAAGTTTGATTTGCCTTATACAATAAAGAGTTATTTCTTCTGTTAGCAAGAGGGGTTACAGCTGCCTATAATAATACAGAAGAATTTGGTTGCCTCTGTCGGAAACAGCTGCTTGTAACCAGACTCTCTATAGCCTCTTCAGTATCTTCTGGGAGAGGATGGAGGAAATCTGCATCCCTATGGGCAGTGGTGCTGGTGTTTTCTGGAGACAGCTCTGTTTTCACTGGGTTGATAGCAAGTAAAGGCCTTAGCAATTTTAGGGTTCTGCTGCTTATGGACTTTCAGATGAGACTTCAGCCAGACACACAGTGGTGACTGAAGGACATGTGTAGGGGTGAGGAGGGATGAAGTGATGGAAAGGGTAGTTACTATACACTACTGCTCTCTTCCAGGACTATGGGATCCCAAAGCATTTTGGTCTCTTTTACGCTATGGGTATCGCTCTGATGATGGAAGGGGTCCTCAGTGCCTGTTACCATGTCTGCCCTAATTACTCCAACTTCCAGTTTGGTAAGCTGCATTGCTTTTCTCATTTTGAGATGAAGGTAGTAGGATTTGTCATGTTCTGTCTCCTGCTGAGTTGCTGGCTTTTCCCATCCCTCAACCCTTGCAAACCTCCTTGGAGTCTGCCTGTTCCAGGGCTCAGTTAGGAAGCCATGAGGCTTTGGATGCTGTGGACTAACACATTTCAGCCTCCTTTCCTGACCTTGGGATTCCATATGAGCACAAGAAAAAAAAAATGTATTTTTTTTTTTTTCCACTTTGAGGAAGTCAAAGACTGAACAGGTTGCCCAAAGAGGTTGTGAAGCCTTGTTCTGTGGTGATATTCAAAGCCTGACTGGAAACTGTCCTGAGCAGCCTTCTGATAGCTGGCCCTGCTTGAGCAAGGGGTGTTGGACGGGACAACCTCCAGAGGTCCCTTCTAACCTCAGCCATTTTATGATTCCCTACCTGTTTCTGTGCTGACTCTGTTGGGCGCTTATTTTCTGAGCCCCTTTGGTTTTTATTGCTTCAGAACATGCTAGATGGTAAAGCACAAAGCGCCGCACAATGTAGTGCAGCATCCTGGGTTTGTGCCTGCCAGCCTTGGGTTTGGCCCTGCTGCTGCTGCACTTCTTCATATGTACTCAGAGCAGCTTTCTCAGCCCACTGGCAGTACCTGTTTTCACTGTTTCTGTTGTGCTCCCTCCACAGACACCTCCTTCATGTACATGATTGCAGGACTGTGCATGCTCAAGCTCTACCAGACCCGCCACCCAGACATCAATGCCAGCGCCTACTCTGCCTATGCTTCATTTGCTGTGGTCATCTCTCTGGCTGTCCTTGGAGTGGTATGGCTCCCTCTTACCTACTTGCTTCTCTGAGAAGGAGATGGTGTGGCTGGGAACATAGCTTAAGTGGGCAAATGACTGGGGAAAGCAGCAGGGTAGGATAAGGGTGTGTTAAGCAGCTGCTAGTGCTTGAATTCCAGTACTCTTGGGGTTTCCTCCTCCTTTCCCCTGGGCTTGCAGTGAAGGGAAGAGCAAAGCAGTTTTCTCTAGATGGGCTTCTATTTGGGCTTTGCTCACTACATGACCTCCTGCTCAAGAGGAAAAATTCATGCATCCAGGTGTCTGTGTCCAAGCATGCAGCTGGTCTCCTGTGGGGTGGCTCACCTTGGAGGAGGAGGAGCGTGAGACTGGCTGAGCTTCCAGGGCAAGTGTTGTCTACCTAATTGCTTGTGCCTCTTTCTCCCCTTTGGAAAATTCCGGGTTGCTGGGCACAGCTCCTGAAGTTGAACTTACTATTTTTGGAGAGGTGCAGGGCTAGAATAATGGCTTGGGGGCACCCAGGCAAGTTTCTGGAGTAGTTCTATAGAAGGGCAGGAGCAGGAGTCACCAGAGTCTCTCTTGTGCAGCAGTAGCACTGACAGGTCAGACTGGTACAAGGCTTTGCACGTTTGCTTATTGTATTGCAAGTACTGAGCTGGGCTTGTCTGAATCCCCAGCCTGTGCTTTACCTTGGAGGTACCTCTTCATTCAGCAGTAAGCAGGCAAAATCCATTGAACTCTTGCTCTGAACTAGCAGCTAGATCCCAGTGGGCTGTCAGCCCCTCACTATCGCACATAATGCAGAGTACCAGTTGATTCTGTAAAGGTCTCTGGGCAGTTGACTGTGAGATAAAAGCATGCAGGAGCAGCTGGTGAACGTGAGACTTTACAATAGTCTCTTGATAGCTGTGGTAGATTTGCACACCCAGGTTCAAAACAGTGGGGTTTCATCATGGGATACTGTGACTTAGCTTCAAAGTGTCCCACAAGTAGTTCTGTGGAGCTTATAAACTGCATGTCTCCCTTGTTCCATTCAAGTAGATGTGGCTTTTCTGCTTGCTTTCTGTTGTGTTTTTTTGGGTTTTTTTTGTTTGGTTTTTTTTTCCCCACACAAAAGGAAAAGTTCAGGCAAGTGCTATGCCCCAGGGGAGAGAAGTGTGTGGTCATAGCCTGATGGCAAACCAGAGTTTCTGGACTCATTAATGTAAAATTGAAGAATTGAGGTTTTAATATAGCATTGACCTGCATTTGTAGATTACTTCCAGTCCTTAAATAAAGCAAAACTGTACAATAGGAGCAATCGCCTACAGAGCACTTTTATCCTTTTTGGTCTGCTACAGTGCAGTTGTTAAAGTAGGGGTTGGTTCCCTGACTGCCTTTCCAAAAATCCAGCTCCTGGCCAGAGAGCTCTGCCCAGCTCAGCAGAGACAGCTTTCCTGGCCTAGGATTCTCTGCATTTCTGCTCCCTGGACCAGCTGCTGTCCTTCCAAGCTGCCATCCTTGTCTGAAGGGGCATTCGGAAAGAATGGTTTCCTCTCCAGAATGCTGAGCTCCTCTTGCTTCTCTGGACTTTGTTTTGGATTTATAGATCTGTTTTCAGGTTGGAAAACTTAGTGGTTTCCCTTCCATGTTCAGTAGGTTGTCTAATGCCCCATGGTGATATAAGACAGGAAAGGATTAGTCTGCTGATCGCAGGGCCCAGTTTGCTTTTAATATGTCTTTGCTTTCAGGTGTTTGGCAAAAATGACATGTGGTTTTGGGTTATTTCCGCAATGATCCATGTTTTGGCCTCGCTGGCTCTCAGCACCCAGATCTACTACATGGGCCGCTTCAAGATGGGTAAGTGCTGGGACTGAACCATCTTCCTCTAGGGTGTGCAGGTGCCTCCTGTCCTCACCTGCAGGAGTCACCTATGCAGTGCATCTGTGAGCACAGTCCCATGGCCTGTGTTTGTGTTTTGGTTTTTCCTGTCCTCTCATCCATCTGATGCTTTTCCTGGCCTCTGAAGTCCTTGTGCTGCTGCTTCCCAGTCGCATGGGAGTCAGCAGGACCCATCTGCTCTGTGGTGGCAGAAGAGCTGGGCTCTAAGGGAGCCTGCCCTTCAGCTATGGCTCTTCCTAGCGCTGTGCTCAGAGCTATGTAAAAACCCTGTCAACGGGTGAGGGAGGAGAGGTTCTGGTGGGGAACTTGGCTCTTGTGCTCTGCTTACAAACATATTTCTCCTTCCTCTTCTGCTCCTGTCTGCCTCAGATGGCCCTGACTCAGGTAACTGTCAGCAGCTCTCATTTTTCTGTCGAACCGCTTGATCAGCAGCGTAGTAACCAGGGATGCATGGATGTGTGTGGGGAGGCAGGCTCGTGTGCCACCTGGGGTTGGCTATTGAGAAGTGAAGTCAGTTTGCCAGCAGCAGGAGGGTGTGTAGTACAGCAGAGCTCTGATCTTGGTGCAGGAGCCTTCTCAAGCTCTGTGTTTATGGGGTGGGTGGGTGTGTGCGTGTGTGCATGCATGTCCCTCCATCGCCACTGATGGCTCCCCACTGAAGCTTCTGCAATGAAAGAGCAAGAAATTAATCTGTTGGCACCCTGAGCATCTGCAGGCTGGGTTCTCTGTTGTCAGCCAGTGGGTATCTGCATCTTTCCCCTGTAGGCATTTTGGCGCTCACTCTGCTGGCTGTTGTGGCTTTTTCTCCTCTTCTTTGACAGACATGGGGATATTCCGACGGGCAGCGATGGTGCTGTACACGGACTGTATCCAGCAGTGCAGTCGACCAATGTACATGGTAGGTGGCTTCTCATCTCAGCACCTCTCTCAGCAATTGCTCACTTTCTAGACAATGTGCAGAAGAAAGAGGTGTAGCTATTTGAAAAAGTGATGCTCCCTACTTCCCTTCTTCTCCTTCTGTCCCCCCAGTGAATTTTTGAGTAAGTGTAGATCTCTACTGAAGCGGTTTGCCCCGTACTCTCAGGCCTCCCCTGATCTCAGTCTTGGTGAATAAAACATCAGAGCAAAGGAGATATTAGCATGATAGGATTTGCCTTTGCTTTTCCTCTCTGGGGGCATGTGTTCAAAGCAATGAGTATGAGGGTCTGTACAGTGCAGCCTCTCTGGGGAAGGCAGTGGCAATTTTGGCTCTGTGGCTTAAGCAACAGCTATTGCTGTTTCTGCAGCACCTTGGGGCAGAAAGCAAAGAAGTAAGAAACAGTAGCTGTTACCTTGTGTCCTACTGATTACTTTCTTCTTGGTATAGAGTCCTAATAGAGGCTTGAAGCCAAATGAAGTTTTTATCCATGAGCATCCTTTTTATTTTATTTACTCTTTCATCTTTGGATAAGTGTCAGATTGAGTTTTGCAAGCCAACTGGGTGCACTCAGGCATAAAGTAAGCCTGGCCAGCCTGAAATAGCTACATCACGAAAGCAGCTGTAAGCATAAATGCACATGCCCCACAGATGCCACCCTTCTGCCTGCTGTTGTTACAGTGCTTCCCCAGCTGATGATGAGATGGGTGAAAAAAGGCTCTGTAGCTATGTCAGGATGTTATCCAAAGCTTTCCCTGCTGCCTCTTTCAAGCACATCCTTGCTCTGTGCAATAGGTTTTTTTTCTGTAAAATGGTGGGAGGGAAGGAATCTAAGTGGAAAAACAGTGGAAACAGTCAAAAGATTTGCAGAAACTCCTGAAGCTGATGCTTATGTGCTGGAGTTGTCCTTTTTCAGGTGTTTAGTCTCCTTACAACACTTTCCTCAAATTTGTGAGGGCCAGAGCAGTTTCTACCTGGCAAAAGCTCCTGCAGAGCAAACTTCAGAGCCAGGTGCATGTGTGTTTGCAGGAACCAGACTCCTCATCCTCACATAATGATACCCCGAATTTCTGAGGCTAAGGCCTCCTTTTGCATTTCCTTATGCTTTTGTATGATCGTCAGTGTCTTCTCTTCAGGACAGGATGGTGCTGCTCATTGTTGGAAACCTGGTCAACTGGTCCCTGTAAGTAGTGGGGCGTTGGGTGTCATGCATACTTGTGCACGAGGGCTGCAGGATTCAGTCTTGACACACAGGTGGTCTGAAGTGATGAGGAAATGCAGCAGTGTCTAAGAAACAGACCTTTCTGACATGTTTTGGCAAGGAGCTGGACCTGGTGAGCACAGGATGGTAGGCAGATCCATAGGATGCGGTGCAGCACTACAGAGCTCCATGAGGCATCCCTAAGCGGTTCGGCTGGTGCTGTCTCATGGCTTGTGTCTGAGCCAGCTTGTGCAGGGCTGGCCAAGCACCACAGTGCTGCATTGTGCTGGACAAGTGCTTCCCTGGTAGCTGGGACGTTTCTGGTGCAGCCAAGGTGCAAGAGACTTGACAGATGCTCATTAGTCAGAGACCTGGCTCAGCTGTAACTGCATGGATGGAGGGATGAGCTCTTGGTGAGACCTAAAATACAGACCCTTGCTTTTCACTAAAGCTGCCTTTCAGGGACATGCCTTCTGCTAAACGTACAGATCTGGAGCCAACTCCTACTGAGCGAGATGCTTTTGGCCGTGGGTTGGAAGCAATCCAGTGTCGTTGCCTGTTCTGTGGGGTCTCTGGTTGCTCTCAGCAGCTGACCATGACCCAGTTTGCTCTTCTTTGCTTCTTAGCAGGGAGCAGATCTAAATGGTGCATTTCCTTCAGGGAACTGGGAGGGTGTGGCAGTATTGCTGTGTCCTGTGGTCTGGGAGGAGCGGTGGGTGGCGGTCAGTTTGGGGATGTACCCTGTCCCCAGTGAAAGAGGCTGTCTAATGTCCCTTTTTCTCTCTCTCTCTCAGTGCTATCTTTGGGCTGGTGTATCGGCCCAGAGACTTTGCTTCCTACATACTGGGGATCTTTATCTGTAACCTGTTGCTGTATCTGGCTTTCTACATCATCATGAAGGTAAAAGAGGCAGCTGTGTCTGCCCATGGGGTGCCTGTCTCCAAAGGGGAAGGGATGTGCCTCCTTTTTGGCTGCGGTCTGGGTTCTTGTGGTGCTGCAGAGGGATGTGGAGGGGCCTATGTGGGGCTCAGGGTGGGACAAGGTGTTGGTGTTGGGGAGGGATGTTGTGTAGACATCTTGGCAGTGGCTGAGCTGTGTTTCCCTGGGGTGGGCAGCCCTTTGCAGATGATGATGGTTCAGGCTGGCATGTCAGCCCTGTGCACAGCTCTGCCCCTAGGAAGAACTTGGGGCACATTGTGAGACTATGTCCCTGTCTGCAGCTCCGCAGCTCTGAGAAGCTCCTGCCCATCCCCCTGTTCTGCATTGTGGCCACTGCAGTGGTGTGGGCAGCTGCCCTCTACTTCTTCTTCCAGACCCTCAGCAGCTGGGAGGTAAAGTTCCCCTTTTACTGTCCTTCTGTCCGTCTCTGTGTCTTGTCATATTTCTTCCCTGTTGTTGGTTTTACATGAAAAATATTCTGGGAAAGAGTCTTGGACTGCTCATGGAGAGTTGAAAGGGTTTAACTCTTTTGGGAACCTGGGAAGGGAGTATGGGAAGCTGTGATGAGCCAAAAATGACTGTATGTGTGCAGCTGTGGAGACCCAGGTGATCTGGAGGTGACTGGCCCTCACTAGAGGACAGAGGAGGAGCTGAGGATCTGAAAGTAAAACTGGGGAAACCCCGACTAGTGCTGGATGGCAGACTCCTCCCTGGAGCAGATGGCCAATGGGGAATAACCTGCCTGAGGTTGCAGGGGCTCTCCGTGGCCTGGGAGGCTCTTAAATCCTGACTGGATGCTTTTTAACATGATACTGTGTCCCTCTCCATGGAAGTGGGGGGCTTGCTGCAGGGTGGTCTGGTGGAGGCTGCACAGCTTGTGTGATGCAAGACTTTAGATCTGAAGACCAGCGGGGTCCCCCTATCCATGGGTTGTGGCTCCAGATCCATCTCAAGGTCGAAGTATGACATTGCATTCCTGCCCTGCTCTCACCACGTGTCCAGTCAGCACAGTGCTTTTTCCTGGCTCCTGGATGGAGGGTTAAGACAGGGTGATCTCCAGAGGATCCAATGTGTCCAGCCAGGGCCTTGTGTGAGTGGATTTCAGGTCCTGACCCCCTGCCTGCTTCCTTAGGAGACTCCAGCAGAGTCCCGGGAAAAGAACCGGCCGTGCATCCTGCTGGGCTTCTTTGATGACCATGATGTCTGGCACTTCCTCTCCGCGGCTGCCTTGTTCTTCTCCTTTCTGGTGAGTCCTGCTGAACCTCCACTCTGCTGTATGGCCTCCCCCTCTCTTCTTCCTGCTTGTCACTCTCTATCCACATGGAGCTGTGACTGCTTGATGACCCCACAAAAGTGCCCAAATTCCTCTGCTTGGCTCTGCCTTCAGATATCTTTCATGGTGGGACGCTCTTTGTCAGTGGGATCAGGCTTTCTCCTTTGGCTGGTTGCTCCCTGTGTCTCCTGGCCTGAAATTCCCTCTGGGGCTGCGGTTCACACAGCTGTTGTGGAAAAGCTGAGGGTCTGCTGGTGACAAACCCTCTTGTGGGTTTGTGAGCATTTCCCAGAAAGGGACTCTACTCCCTTTGACCTGGGTGGTTGGGTGCTGGTGTGGAGCTTAGCTTGCTCCTGGGCTTTCCATCACTTCCGTAGTTGTCTCCTGTGCTCCTCCACTTGATATCTCTTTTCAGGCCTGACGATCTGTGTGGTGGCAAAGATGGAGGCATCCTCGGTGATGGGGTCACAGCATAGTGTTTTGGGGACATGGAGGGGGAGACCTTAACCCTAGCTGTGCAAAGTGCAAACTATTTGTGAAGGAGCTGCCTGGCCACTTGCAATGCCTGAGCAGTGGTCAAGCAATTCCTACCCTGCTGCCTCCTGGAGACTGGTGTTGAGGGACCAGTTCACAAGCAGTGTCTCTGTCATGGTTGGGTCTGGATTGCCTGCTCAGGTCCTTGCAGCACTGTTGGCAGAGCTACCTGTCAGCTGTGCTGCCAAAAGGACTTGCTGGGAGCATTACAGAAACAAAGTTAATCTGGCATGACTACATGAGTTGTCGTCATGACTCTTGTACATGCTGAAAATGTGGCCCAGGTGGCCCTATGATGAGATGCCATCGGGAGCTGGTCATTCTCTGCAGCTGTAGGCTGGTCAGTGAGACCTGAAGCTGCCTCGCACTTTCCTCCTCAGGTCCTGCTGACGCTGGATGATGACCTGGACGTGGTGCGCAGGGACAAGATCCCAGTGTTCTGAGTCCCCAGGGGACAGAGGGCGCAGGGGCGTCCCAAATTGCTCAGCCAAAGGCACCAGGCCACTGGCACCTGTGGGGAATGAGCCTGCTTCTGTGGCCGACAACCCCGTGGGAGCAGGGGAGCCAGATCCCACAGCAAGCACCAAGGGGTTCTGCAGTAACCGAGGTGGGACCAGGAGGGAAGACTACGTTTGCTCCGTTCTCACTGCATCCTCTGGGGCAGGCACGACCCGGCAGCTGCGGCCAGTGCACAGCTCGTAGGTGCAGCAGGTGCTGGAGCCAGTGAAGAGGGAGGAAACAAGGAGGTGTGTTTGAGACCTTTGCTTCCCTTCCTCCCTGCTGATGTTCCCCCCCTTTCCTCTTTGGTGAGCAGGCTTGAAAAGTGCAATGCAGCTCCTTCAGCATTGGCAGCCTGTACCCAGCAGGCTGCTGCCCTCAGAGTCCCTTCAGCAGCACAGGGAGAGTGTTTGGTTCCTGTCCCACAGCTGCCAAGTGAGCAAAGGACTTGAAGCTGAGGTGGCAGTGGTGGACTGGCTTCGTTTTTTTTGTTGTTGGAGAGGCTCCTCCTGTCGCTGGCTGGGGGCTGTAGTGTCAGAGGGAGACAGTAGACTGGAGCTGCCCATGAGTGCTCTCCCAGAGGCAGAACCTCCTGCCCTGCTCTTGTGGCCTCTCATTTATGCATGTTGAACAGCCTCACTTCTCTGGTGGCTCCTACGCAAGCGCTTGTCAATGTGATGGTCTCCTTCACAGTGCCAGAAGCGCTGTCCTCAAGTGACCCTAAGAGAGATGGTGTGGTGAAGCCACAGCCTGGTGTGCTGGGCAGCTCCTTGGCAGCTCCTTGGCTCCCGCTGTGTGGCCTTGCTCAAGGGGTGAGGTGGAACAGGGAGGTTTGTCCAGCAGCCTCAGGCTTTCTCCTCCCAGAAGCTTGCTTTGGGCAAACTTGGCAAAGCAGGTTCCTTTATGGGCTGGGAGTGTGAGGAGGCTTTGGGGCAGTTGGGGTTGAGCTCCTCAGCTAAAGATCTGGACCAAACTTCTTTCCTCTCCAACTTTTCTGCATCTGAAGTAATTTTTTTAAACAGTTTCTGCATTCTTCCTGAATTCTCAGTTATTTAAAAAACAAGAATAAGGTGTGAATTATTTCAGGCCTTGCGTCTAAAATGTGACCTGTTTTGCTAATTTTGAATTAAAAAGTATTCTTTGAGGCCTGCTGTCCTTATTCTTGTCATTGTCTGAGCGTTTTTCCTTTGGTTGTATGGATGTACCCAGTGATGCAAAGGCTCCATTCCAGTTACGCTTGCCAAAGCAGAAGACTATGGAAATTTTCTACGCCAAGAAGCCTGCATCTCCTAGAAAGATTTTGCACTAGCTGGGTTTTTTTTTTCCTAAGTTGGAGTTTATCAAGATGGTCAATAAAATGAATGCTCTTGCCTTCCTGCTCTGCAGGTTGGCCTGAATTCTTCTTGTTCCAGCTCTCAGCTTGAGCAAGAGAACACTGCACTAGGTGCAGAGGTGTTCCCAGTGGTGTCACGCAGCTCCTGTCATCCTTATGAGCCTCACAGAGAGTTTCCTGACCATTGGCACAGATGATATACTTGTTCTTCTAACCAAATTGCCTTTTGGGGGTTAACTGGAATAAAGAACACCACTCTTGTTTGTCACTTGTGGCCCTTTCAGCAGAGAGCAGGGAGGGCTGGAGGAGGAATAATGCTATCTTCCTGAGCAGAGCTGCACTCCTATGGAGATGTGCCCATGTTTCAGACAGAGTGCTCCAGAATATGCAGAAGGTGGTGGTCTCTGTGTCTCTGGGCTTGACTTGCAGGTTTGCCACGCAGATGGAGTTGTGAATGTTCAGTGATGCTAGAAATAGGGGTAGGTTTCTCAGGCTTGTTGAGAAGCATGAGCTCCTCTTCCTTAACAGCGTCAGCATAGGCTGTAGGGAAGGAGATGGCACTTGCTTTTGTCTGAGTAGCACCAGGAGAGGAGTATCAGGCTGAGGATATCCATATTTTCCAGTCAGCCACCCTGCAGCCTTGCCATATGTCCTTGGTCTGCCTAAAATGGCAGAATCCAATATCATCTACACAGGCTTGTCTGCAGCTTCTTTTTTGTTTCCCATAAGGAAATAAGGCTGCCAGAAAATCTGAGGTGCTAAAAACTCACCCCAAATCCTTACTGCCAAGACTGAGCCGCCCCCGTTGGGGGCTCCTGGAGGGGCTGTGGTGCTCTGTCTTGCCCAGCGTGGTTATAAACAAGCTGTCAGATGGAACCACCTTGGATTTTGTACCCAGAGGTGTATGAATGTTTGACCCAACAGCTTTTTTTTTTTTTTTTTGCAACACATGCAAATGCAAGGGTTGCAGTGCCCACGTGCTGCACTTCCAGTTCTCTGACCAGTGAAACCAAAATTTGTTGTAATAATAGTATCTGGGGTGGGCAGGGTGTGCTCTTTCCAGAGGTCTACTTGGAGGGCAGGTGGAAACACGGTGGTAGGACTGCTGCCAGCACCATCCATTCCCTCCCTTCTCTCTGCCTCCCTAGTCCCCACCCCAGCAGCAGAGATCTGAGGCATGGCTGCCTGGTGCCACCTGGGAGCCGCATGAAGAGCTGCAGTGGTAAATTTGTTGGGAGGTGATGTTCTCATGTGATGGTCACATCATTTGCTGCTGAGGTGAGTGAGGGAGCAAGTGCTTTGGAGCTGGAATTGGGAGGTAGCAGGAGGAGGGGAGAAAATTTTCCTGAAGGAGTCCTGACTATGGGCCTTGTGTGAACAGTCTCTTGCTCTAGTAAGTGCCTGGAGAAGTTCAGGTCAAGCCCTCTGTGCCCCTTCAGGGTGGGTTACAGGGCTTTGTGTGGGGCTGTGCTTGCAGGACAGCAGTGCTGCAGTGGGCAGGATAAATCCCTCAGTGTAGGGGACACTCCGGGTTTGAACACTGCCTGCGAGCACCAGCACTGATGAAGTGCTAAATCAAAAGAACCCTCTACTTGAGGCAAGGGCTGCCTTGCTCCTCTGGGACCTGGAGGGAGATGTGTAGATTCAGTCTATGGTGGGGTCGTTAAAGGGGCTTGAAGTGGAGATACTGACCTGCTGTTGCCCGAGGCTCAATGGTTACAGCATCTGCCTCCTGTAGGAACTTTGCCAGCCTTAAATTTTTTACTGCCTGGTTTCTCTGGTGTCCACGCTGCGATCACACCATGCAGCTGCAATTCCACCATGCAAAGCACTCCAGGGGCCCACTGAATATTTTTTAGATGAAGTAGGCTAGTTGGCAGAGACTCAGGGCAGTTTTTTGCTAGAATTAGCAAATGCTGCCTCCCTCAGTCCCTGTGAGCCAGTGGAATGGAGAGAAGAGAGACGCTGGTTCAAAAACCTTCTGATCTTGGTAGATCACCAGATCTTGGTAGATCACCAGAATACAAGCAGGTATTGCAGGGGAGAGAGACTTGGAGAATCCAGCGTTGGATCCTGCTGTTTGTGAGTCTAACCTCAAGTCCTCTTTGCTCACTGTGTTGCCTTCACACCCCCGGTGCAGGGGTGCAGGATGGGCTCTTGACTTGCAGGACTGCCCTTACCCTGTGGTCAGGTGTGGAGAAAGATGAGCAGCTTTTCCTCTTGTACAAGGATGTTCTGCTCTTGGTGTACTTTGCAGAGTGCAGAAGTCAAGGACATAGCCAAGGTGTTGGGGTGGGAGGAATACTGGACTTCTTTACTGGACTGAAGAGTTTGCAGGGCGCAGAAGTCAAGGACATAGCCAAGGTGTTGGGGTGGGAGGAATATCACTTCTTTACTGGACTGAAGAGCAGCTTGTGTGCCCCAAAATCTGTCCAGTTTTGGACACACAATTTCATAACAGATATTCCTTTTCCCCATTTCTTCCACAGTCTCTGTAGTCTCAGACCTTGTTCCAAGCTTGGATTTGTTTCTAACCAGGAAGCTGGTTATGTTCTCTAAACAGGAATGTGAGGAAAAAAAACCCCTAATGTTGAACAGCAGTTGGATGGCTTGACGTAGGAGGTAAAAGAGTGACATATGGGCTCAGTGAGCTGTGCTGAGATGAGCACAGTACGCGAACGGCAAGGTGGCAGCAGCAGTGAGAGAGAGAGAAGTTGAAGAAGGATGGAGAACAGCACAGAACAAGGAGAAAAATGTGAGAGAATTAAATTAAATACAAGGAAAGGTGCTTCGAGCCCAAGAGATGGGAGGGAGGGTTGGAATTGTCTCCCTGCTGCTTCTGTGCCTCCAGCTTAATGTGTTAATTTTTAAAATTTCCTCTTAGCCTTGCCTTGCCTGCTGGCTTCTGGTGGTACTTCAAGTCTCCCACCCAGTGGCTGCGGGGCCTGGCCTGGCCTGGCTGCTGCAGAGGTGCCTCCGTCAGCTCCTGCTGGGCACCTGGGCAGCTCTTGTCTCTCTCAGCTGTCCCAGCCAAGCTGGGCCGTGCAGCCCCCCATGCCTGCAAGGGGGCTTGTGCTTTTAGCCCTGCTGCCCTGCGCTGGGTGACTGCTCCTCAGGGAAGAACAGCAGCTCTCTGGGTAGGTGGGGAACCCATGTTCCCTGACTTGCAGGTGTCACATTGTTGTGCTCACTGATCGAAGCCATTAGACAGAGGTGTGTGTGGAGACAATCAGAGCAGCTGGTGTGAATCGCGTCAGGAGGTGGGGGCCTTTCTGCTGCCCATGGGCAGGTAACAGGGTCCCTGCTTCCTCCACCATGTGCTCATCCCTCCTGTGCTCACCACAAACTGCCTTAACAACTCTTGAAAGGGAAGCAAAGAGTCCACTTGTCTGGTGATTCCCCTCCTCAGTGAGTTTAAGTGGCTCCCTGTAGGGGCTGAGAGGAAGGGAAGCAAAGAGTCCACTTGTCTGGTGAATCCCCTCCTCGGTGAGTTTAAGTGGCTCCCTGTAGGGCCTGAGGAGCTCCTAGCTGGAAGTGGGGGCTGCCAGAGTAACTCTCCATGTATTGTGGAAGCTGTACCTGCCCAGGAACACCTGCCTTAAGCTTTCTGCAGTTGGCCATTACATACTCAGCCTTATCCACCAAGCCAGGAGAGATGTTTGCTGGTTTCATAAGTTTTATAAGCTACTAACACTCAGCTTTGTATAACTTCTGTGGCCTCTTTTTGTGTTTTCCCAAGTAAAAGCCTGTGCTCAGCTTTGTATAACTTCTGTGGCCTCTTTGTGTTTTCCCAAGTAAAAGCCTGCACAGTGCTGTGGTTGGGTGGAGATTTTTGGGTGGTACACAGTCAGAAAGCTGCTGCTGAGCAGGCTCTGCTCTACCTCCCCCCGTAGCAATGTGACCTGTCTCTACCATGCTCTTTTCTCCACACAGCTCCTGGGCACCTGAAGGTGTCTCCCCTCTCCCACAGTTGTGTTGACCTAAGCCTCAAAGAGGAGGTGGATACAACCCTTAGTCCCTGTTTTCTCAGGAAATGTAGGTAAAGCAGTTGTTCTGCCCTGTATGCTGCAAGGGAGACAGAAATAGCTTTTGTATTATAAAATAATAATAATAGTAAAATGCCCTCACAATTTAGGGAAGTTATTAGGAACGTGCAAGTTGACAGTGTTACAAGTACCACCAAAACCAGGTGGGTTTGGTACCACCAGCCAGGGCTGCCTGATGTGCTTTGAAATACGAAGGCAGCTCTAGGAGAAATGTCAGCTTGTCCACAGCTGAACATAGACTTTGTGCTCATCAGAACAGTGACATCTACACAGAGCAAAAAGGGTGCTGGGGGGAAGTAACAGGGAGATACTGAGTTCACCCAGTACGTTACCAGGCTGCATTCAAGCCTGAGGTACGCTGGCCGTGAGTACGCTCTACCTCTAGTTTAAGATGGGGGAAGAAACTCTTTGAGCCAGTTTCCCTTGTGGTTTTGTCTGTGGTTTCCCTCGTGTGCGTGAGCCCGTGGCTGCACCGAGCCTTTCTGTGAGCCCAGCAGGCCTGAGGGCCCCAGCAGCTCTCAGCCTGGAGAAGGGCTGACAAGAGGGACCTCACCACCCCACGGTCGCTGCTGGGACCTCGGTGGAAACTCTGCCAGCAGCCCAGCTCCATCTCCTGCAGGTAAGCACCACATGCATCTCCCAGGGTTAACCAGTGCCGAGGGTATCGGCCCATCCTTGAAGGTGTTTGGGTGCCTTGTGTCCTGTTTCCCCTCTTCTCTACTACGATAGGAAAGAGGAAATCACTACAGCAGGAAACTCCACCTT